TTTTTTTTTTTTGGAATGTTTATGTTTTAAATGTAGATTTCTGTGATGCCCAAAGTCTGCGGAGGACTGGGAATTGGGGTTCATTTCCTGGTTTCCACCTGGCAGACTTGGATGCTGCTTAGTGGAATTGCTTAATCCTTTTTCCTCTAGGAGAAGGCACTATCTTCCTCCTCAAAAATGCCTAGTTAATAGGGATACTGACTTTGCAGGGCCATGGAGGATATTGAAGGAAAAATAGGCATTTTGAATGGACCTGTGCACCAGGACTGGTACATGGGGCACAGTGGTATCAGCAGAACTGCACTGTCACTGGGGAGTAGAGGCGACAGTGCACTGTGAAGGTGATGGAGGGATGTCAGTGCTCATGAAATGCAGTTTCAGCCTTGTTATTAAAAACACACAACGGAAGAGGGTGTGCAGCTCTTGCATATAACAGAGAGCCCCGTGGAAGAGCCCAAATGTGTTCTTTGCCTTGATGCCTGGGCTATGAGGTCTATTGAACCCGACAGGGCTGCTTGCACTGGTGACCACACACACACACACACACACACACACAATTCTTTCTGCTATTCCGTGCTCCTTTGTCATGGTTAACTTGAATTTTACTACTGTATGGAAAGAGTACTGGCCTCTTTTTGTTTGGGAAAGATAACTTCACATTTTTCAGCACTAAACTCCTCCAATGGCCCCATTTTGGGAAAGTCATCTAAGACAGAAATATATGAAGAACTGAAAATGCCATTTCACAGAGTGGTAACTAGTTAGCATTTTTAAAAAGAAGAGATGCTGGTATCTGTGCTTGGTTGTCTGTTTCTAGTCAAGGTCTCTGAGTGAGAAGGGTAATTTTTAGGTAATTAAGCAGATTTTGCCCACACGACAGCAAGTACCACCTTACCACCTTTGAATAAAGCTTCTGGTTGATCGCTTGCTTCTTCGCCCCCTCCCCACCCCCCCTCCCGGCTTTTCATCTGCTGGTTTGGGGATTGTGGAGACCCAGTCTTTATCTTTCTGCTTATAGATTACTGAAATGTCCACATCCTTCAGGCACGACACTAGCAAATTCAAAAGTATTGGAGCTTAGGAAAGGATTTGGGTTGTGAATTTCTATTCTGTTTGTTAAAAAAAAAATCAGGAATCAAAGAAGGCTTTAGGGTCAACACAGCTGTCTGGCTGCTCAAATCTTCTTTAAGGAAGTCAGGCGGTGTCAAGAGGAGAAGAAACAGTTGTTGTAAAGTACTTAACACAACAATGTCCCTTCCATTTCAGCCCTCCAGGTTTGGCGCAGTTTGGGCTTATTAGCCCACTAGGGTCAGTTCTCCCTCACAAAGCTATTTCTGCAAAGGGAAAATTGCATGGATCAACTTGCCAGCTGTTGGCCAGTGCGGAGATTTTATAAGTGGAGTGTGAGCTACATTGTTCAGGGAGGTGTTGCTATCACAATGAGGGGTTTTCATTTGGATTTTAACATATATTTTGGAACCAGAAAAGTCTACATTGGTGCTACTTTAGACTACATTCTGCATTCTTCTTGGCACAAATTGGAGTCATTATATATTTGATAACCAGAATGGTATTAGTCTGCATGGTTGATGCTGTGGGAGAGAAAGGAGAGGTTTGTTTCAGCATAGACTCGATACAAATTCCTACATTAGCAAGATTTTATCAGAAGTTCTTCATCTAAGGCACTGGGCGAGGTGCTAAAAGGTTATGGGAAAAAGGCTCTGAGCTTGCCTGCAGGAGGCTGATAGCCTAGCATGCTTTCCCTCTGTTATCCTAAGGATCACGTATTTCTGCTTGAAGTTACTTAGAATAACTAGATGTTTATCCAGCGCAGAAGGATATAATTTAGTTTTAAGTAATGTTCAAGGAACAGAGAGAACAGTTTTCCTCCTTTACAACTACATTTGTAAAAAAAAAAAAAAAATTGCTCCTCTTAGAGGATCTTTTTAAAATGTAAGGCCCAAAGGAGGCAAATGGGAAGAAAAGTGAGATAGAAGGTCAAGTGTGGGACACTGACAATGGTAAATTATGGAGCAGTTCATCAAAAATCAGTATTCAGACAGTGTCCTTGTCTCCAAAATTCACAAAATTCAAATGCCATTTCTACGATTAAAATGAGATAATAGCTACTGTACAGACTCAGTGGACATCACAAACATACCACTAACAAAGTGAGTTTATCATATTTACTTTATCCATCTGCATGTGCATTTTTGACTGTTGGGCACTTTTGCATTTGAATTATGAGCTCTTTATTCCTGGTGACAAGCAGTCAGTTTAGAAGTGAAAATTCTACTCTATCAACTAGTTGTTACACTTTCATGATGTTAAACACGATGTTCATCTAACTGGAAAAAAAAATTGAATTGACAATGACATCTTAGACACACAGCCACTCCTGTGAAGACTTGGGGATGTTTCATTAGAGCTTTGTCTCATATATGATAATACCCTTAGGAATACTTTATCTTCAGATTATCTTAAAAAAATAGACATTAAGGCTGGAGTGTAGAAAACTGATTTATGAATGTCTAGAAATTAAGAACTAAAAATGACCTTTATTGCTCTAGACATGTCATCAAAAGAAAACAGCAAGTTTAGTGGGTTGTAACATTTCTAGGATGAAGCTGCACCATGTCACATAAAACTAGGAGGCTCTAGGTGTGAAAGTTTGAAGGCTGGACTCAACAGTTTTCAACATTCCTGAAAGTTAGCAGACAACCAAGACATATTCCAGCCTAGGTTGGGGGGGGGGTGCAGGGATGCCTGTTTATATAACTGATGGTCCGTATAACTGGATCCTCTACGTGCCGGTTCGTTTGGAGTTTCCCCTGAATTTGTTCCAAACAAATATTGTGGCTGGGTTTAAGTCGGACACAGAAGAGGTTGCTGAATCATGGGAATGTGGAAATACAATAGATAATTAAGCCTTCTGGAAGGAATCCCACATTTAAATCAAGTTTATATTGCTCTTTTCATGTGCCTGGCGGCCCCATGCATCAGATGGGGCCCTCTGCCCTCACATGTGAAGTTTATCATTATCCCTTAGATTGTTCTGGACATCCTAGGAGCAGTGTGGGATAGTCTTGCTGTCATCAGGGCTGTTCTTATAACATCATAACTCCCCACATGTCAGCAAATCGCAGGCCTTGGGAAACCTCGCCTCCGAGGACCCGTCCAGGCTCTATTCCCTTGCTTTGAAGCAGACCAGTTTTCTGAAGAAAAGGACCAAGATGGGGCAAAGTGCTTGTCACCCTTGCAGCTTTCTCTGTATATTTCTTTCAACCTGCCGATTGGCAGCCCCGAGGGGGAAATGGCTGAGGTAATGATCTCTATTAGGCCCAGTAATGAACTAATTCTGCATTTTATTAAGGTAGTGGAGGCTGTGTGTGTGTGTGTGTGTGTGTGTGTGTGTGTGTGTAGGGAGAAGTTTAGCTTCATTACTCTGACATTATTTGGTGATCAAAATGGGGCATGCAGTTACCCCTAAAAGGAGTCCCCACATGAAATGACAGAGCCAGTGGTTCAATTTTTGCTCTACTTTATCTTCTGTTGGCCCTGCTCCTGGCATAATAAAATTTAAGGAATATAAAAATCAAACATAGCTAGGTAATAAATCGATGTCTGCGTTCAATTGCAGGGGGCTTAGCTCTGGATAAGCACCGTCCATGGGCTGTGGCTGTTTGTACAGACCGACTTATCTTTTTATTTTTTTAGAGGGTGATTGAAAACAGTCCTTGCTCAGAGGTGTTTTCTCTTTTTATATGTATTGGTCCCTGGGTAGGACTTTCTTGGAGCCTAAGACTTAAATTTTTGAAATAAAATTAGATAGCAGGAGTAGATATTAATCGTATTCTGGGGATTAGATATGAGCATTGCTTTTTCAGAGGAGGCTTGTGGGATTCTTTTGATCCTTACATAAAGGGAGTACATTTTTAAAAAGTTTTTTATTCAGTCTGGTTTTACATATAGAGCTCTGGGACGTTTGTCATTCTCCTAACTAAGCAGTTGCTTTTGCTTTTCAGATTTCAGTATAGGAATTATTCTGATCATCATTGGTCTTGCTTTTTAGTTTCATTTTTCTTACTTGATGCTTTTCTCACTTTTGTGTTAACCAAAATACAGTACTTGTTTCAGAGTGGGGCATCTTAATTACTGTTTTTTAATTCTGGGGATTTTTTT